TTAGTGAAACTGTAAGTGTGTGCGATGTTTTTATAAGATGTTGTCCTGAGTATGAACCAATAAGACGGGGTTTAAGAAGTCAGAGAGTCTTTTGAGACGGACTAAGGGATTATAGTTTTGGTCTTTTTTTCTTCTTCTGGGGATTTCTGGGACAGAAAGAACAGCAGCTTTATCCTGTAATATCTCTGTCTCTTACTTTCTATGTTTGGCTCAATCTGTCACCCCCCCCTCCTCCTCTCGCTCTTTTAAATCTCTTGTTCTCTCCCTCCCTCCCTCGCCGCCTTCAAAAGGCTATCTTCTTTTTCACCTTCGTTCCTGCAGGGCACATTTTCTCTGCTTCTTTGTCTTCTTTTTTCTTCTTCTTTGGTATTAGAGGGTGTCTGCAGAGAAGCATCTTATTCTCCCAACCACATCAGACAGGCTAGCCGCCGCCTGTGACACACTGATGTGTTTGAGGAGGGGTATTTTGGGGTATTTCTGAAGCAGTAGAGGAGGGGTAAATCTGGGGTCGGGTTACCTGTGTGTGTGTGTGTGTGTGTGTGTGTGTGTGTGTGTGGACCAGGAGAGAGAAAGGTGATCACAGCTTGAGGCGTCAGCAGCGGTGCATTTCCCCTCAGATGGATCAGACTGCTGCTACGCCGTCTTCCTCTTGTTTCTGACTCGATTAATCTTCAGGCCGACAGCTTTCACTGAAGGAAATAGAATTTGGCATCTTCTCAGACTGCTGCTGATCACTCTGCTGTGAGGAAATACAAGTTTACTCTCTGCGATGCCAGATGACGCAGCTTACAGGTCTGATGAGTGAAGACAAGAGTTGGAAAATAGTACCAGTACAAGAAGAGTTCTGTTAAAACTAGAGAAACATTATCTGTCAGCTTCTGTACACTGCCTGAAGGAGATAATACGACATTTATGACCAGTTTCTCCAATCTTAAAACTGTGTTGCATTCAGGTCCCAGCCATTTAAACTCCTCACACTACAGTGATTGGAAGGAAATTTTCATTTGGAATAAAGTAAGCAGCCCCTGTGCTCCTGCATGGTACAACCCACAGCACAGTTGGAAGAGGTTAGCTTTGGCTCGGCATGAGTAATAAACATGATGTGATGTAACATAACTTAAAAAATCGCTGCCTTGCATTACCAAGAAATCCAGAAGTGTTAAAGGGCCGTCCGTTTTGGGTTGCAGTGAAACCCTGGCTCAAGGCTGTAAGGCAATAATCTGTCTTCTTTCCCATGTTTTTAACAAAGAGTGGCAGAAAAGATTCAGGTGGCAGAATCTTATTTTATCTGGTTAGAAAGAAGAATGTAATCGGGGACGTACTGAAAGTGATGCAAATAAATGTTTGTTTGCAGCTAGACCAGTTTACCTGTAAGTTTGTGATGGACACGTTACTCTCCTACGCGCCTGTCTTTTGAAATTGATGTGCAAAGGTCGATACTTTGCTCTTCAATCCACATTTAAAAGGAATGAAAGTATTTCTAAAATATGCAAAAAAACATGTAAAGCATCTCGCCCTTATTAAGAGAGGGACACATGAATCTGGCAGGGGGGGGGGACATAGACAACTTAAATCACATTAGAGATCAGCACTGATGGTCAAGAAATCTTCAAAATGTTGTTGTTTAGATTAAATAGGCGCTGGTTTAACAGTTTTATGTTCAAGTTTTTAAAAGCCGTTTGTCAGCCAGGACAGATCGACTGTATGATTATTAGTCTGAGCCATTCCATCTTTTAGTCACATATCACCCATCGCTCCCTCTCTCCCCTCCTAACAGGTCCTCGCTCCCTCTTTAAAATTAATTCATTCTCTCATAATGAACTGTCTCTGAGCTTCGGGTCCTTCCCTCTCCTCCTCCTTCAGTGTGAGGTCGGAGGTTTCCTCCTGCAGGATTCTCTGTTGGAGAACAAAAGCTCCTCAGACGAGAAAAAAGAAAAACATGTTTGGGGAACCCTGTGTTTTTTTTTATTTTTTATTTCAGGCAGAGTTGATCATCTGTGTTACTGCGCGGCTGCCAAAAGACCTCGGGCTTCTGTCAGCCTGCACGGGAAGAGGAAACTCTTTCCTCACTGTGTGTCAGGTCATCAGGGAGCTGCTTTCGGTTTCTCAGTAGTTTTGTTACTGCGCTGCACGTTGTGGCCACTTTTTCTCTCCTGCTAATGGGGTGATGTAATCCATTTTGTGTAATTCAGAGTGACACAAAGTATTAAGTGTTTCCACTGCTGAAGGCCGGATGAATGAAGGATCTCTGTTAAAAAAGGAGACGTCTCATTTATTTGACTGTTTATGTGTCATGATCAGACCATCCTGTCACAGCCTCCAATGAACCCGTCGCCTTTTTGATCAAGATTAGCACTTACCGTTTATAGTGATCTCTATTATAACGTTTACTATTTCATCCTGGCAAAGTTTGTGTGCCTTAAACATAGGGTTGCTGAGGGGTGGAAAATGTCCAGTAAATTTCTGGAGACTTCACATGGAAAGATAAGCTCGGGAATTTTGAATATATTCCAAATCGTATTAATACTAATAATCATATTTTTATTTTTAAAATATATTACCCTATAATATCTTACTTCACTCTATGTAGTCCACGGGCTTTAATAGTCTTGGGCTCTGTGGTCAAAAGTTGTGGTCCAGGGTTCTAGAAATCATCTGTGCATGTGATGCATGTAGGGGGCGTGGCCTCAATAGTCCTAAAGTCCTGCAGTAAGCAGTGTGCTATGTGCATGTGATTGAGGAATAGCACAGATATTCAAGTTTACTTCCATGAAATTTAGTTGTTTTTTAGTCAAGATTATGCTTAAATATATTTTCCCCAACTATTTTTAAATTCTCTGCTAAGGGCCGCCTTTCAATTTAGTAAATTCCTGTTTATTCCCATGGAAAGTTTCCAACTTTGAAAACTCCCAGAATTGTGCAACCCTACTTAAACACGGATATCCTGAGATGTTTGACTTGTTTTGTCTGCAATGTTTACATTTCACTAATATAGATATTAAAGTCCCATCTTCAGTTTGTTTACATCGCCCGGACGGCCGGCTGACTCCTCCCCTCGTGTATAAAAGTTGTTTAATTGAGGGACTAGAGAAAAGAAGAATAACATACTGTACTCACTGCTTAACTGTGTTTCTAGATCACGCTCATTTCAGGTAAATTTACATGCAGTGTGAAGATACCAGCATAATAAAGATCGCTAGCATTAGCATGCTAACACAACAATGCAGCACGAGTTGTTTTGGTTTCATGCTGGTGCTCAAGGGCGACATCTGCTGGATCAAAAAATCACTTTATAAAGCTTTTAAACATGGATATCCTGAGATGTTTGACTTATTTTGTCTGCAATGTTTACATTTCACTAATATAGATATTTAAAAAAAATGGAATAATATCTGTTCAAAGCTCCCGGTTCTTTTCTTTAGTGTTTGTAGAAATATTCAACACAGCTCGGCTCTGTTGTGACCGTGACCTTTGTTCAAATCCTGTATTTTGGCCTTCAAGTGTTTCCACCGGTGAGGGCCAGGTGGCTGAAGGATTTCTGTTCCTCTGTTGAAAAATGTTCAAATCCTAACCATAACCTTTGCCACATCTCGTCCCTGCCTGCCTCTGACTGGTCTTTTATCTACATCCTGCCTCATACTACCTGTAACTTGCACATATGGTCAGCCAATTTAAATGTCTGCATCCTCAGGTCTGCAAAAATTCTTCTGCACAGCCTCCAAGAACATCTTCATGGGTTTGATCAAATTAGCCTGTGTAGATATATCAAAGCCTCGGCTGAATAATAACTCGGTAATTGCTCCTCCCTCCTCGTCTCTCGAGGGTTGGACGGGTGTTATCAGCTCTTAGTCTCGCTGCCTCACCGCCTCCTGGAGCTGCCAATCTCTCCCAGGGCTTGTCTCCATCTTATCTCCCCCCTCACACTTCACGGAGAGGAACTTCTTAGAGGGCTGGGCCCGACAGATAGCGACTGACCTGTCTCTTCCCTCTGGAGTGGTTTCTTTTTTTTTGAAGCAATCTGCTAACCGCACTCAAATGGCTGACTAGATAGATATCCCCAACGCCGCCTTCTACTTTGGGAGAACACACCCTTTTACCGTCTGGGGAAGGTGTGTACTCCCCTCCCTCGTCTATTCCCCTGTCTTGTCTGTTCACCTGTCTCTGCGTAATGAAGCAGGAAGGCTGCCTGTGGACTCAGGTGGCACGTCTTTGAAGCTGCCGCCCTGTGGGGAGTTTGAACTCGAGGAGGGAGGGGCCCCGGCGAGCGCCCTCAAAAAGATGACAGAAGTTAAACGACTCTCATCTTTAAAACGTTTCTCTCCAACTTTTCCTCCTTTTGGATTGACTGTCTGACGTGTGAAAGGAAGAGAGAAGAGTCGCTAATCAAGGTGGAGGATCTCTTCGAGTGAAAGCTGTGAAGTTCTTCTGCCTGCACCCGCTCCTCGCTCTCCCTTTTGTTTCATTTATCAAAGTCAATCTCATTTCCTTTGAACTTTTTCTCTTCCACAATTGAAACGAGCGCACACAAAGGCTGTTTAACTCTCAGGTAGAAGTGGGAGCACGTCTCCGAGGCGGCCCTGCATGAAAAATGCAAATTGACGTTTCAGCATCTTCCCCCTTCTTCGGAGTGAAGCGTGGCCACAATCTAGAGAGCGTATCATAATTGAAGAGAAAATTGTGTTAAAGGTAGATCAGCTTTAACGCCAGTTAAGCTCATTAACGTCTTATCAGCAGTCACAGTGCGTTTTTATTTGCTGATTATCCCTCGATGGAAGAGGCATCGGCAGCACTTCCTCGAGGAAGAGAAGCAGCAGGATGTTTTCATTTTTTTTTGTGTCCAAACCAGCTGTTGTTTCCTGTCTCACCCCTCTGGGACGGGGAGGGGGGGGGGGAGGGGGGAGGGGTGCAGCCATGAAAATGTGCATCACAGCAAAATGTCTAAAGTGTGTCCGATGTTATTTTTTTGTCTCTGTGACAGATGGCGCCGCTGACAGTGGGGCTGGACCTGAGCGGGATCGATGACAGAGAGATAGAGCTGGTACGTACCTGCTGATTAATGAGGTCCACAGCACCTGAACGCATCACAGTCCAACATGTGCTGCAAAAAAAAAACCCTCAGAGAAAAGCTTCTTCACTACATCCCCTCTACTGAAGAGGAGTTTGATTTATTGATCTGATTGGGACGATGAAATGTAACAGAATGAGCCCGGTGTGTCACAGAACGTTTAGATCGACACTGGAGATAGAAAGATGGAGACTTAATGATCCACAAAGAAATGGAGTCATCAAGAAGCTGACAAGAGACATGACGGGACATCTGTCAAATCTTACAACACCCCTCCCCCAAAGATTAAAAAAAACAAAACAAATCTTACAGTTATCAAACATTTAAAATGTTGTACAATATTTCTAAGATTCACATTTGTCTCGGTGTTGAATCTCTTCTCTGCATTAGTTTGATGTTGTAAAAATCAATTCAATGACTCAATCCACAAGAACGCTCCCCGGCAGACTAAACATTGTGGAAAGTTTTGTTCCTCAAAAACCTAAATTATGCAGATAAATAGAAGAAGAAACAAGCTAAGAGAAAATGTATTTACATTTATTAAATGTTTAGACCGTCAAAACATCACATCGTCAACAGAGAGCGAGAGAGCAAGTGGAACGCCAAAGATGCTGAACTCCTCAAACAAAATAAATAGTTACAGAGACTTCTTCCATCAGTTGTATTTTAAAAGAAGGAAATATTAACAAGCTGGAGAGAAGTGGAAATGTACATACAGTGTATCTATTCTTGTTTTACCAAATCTCCCCCTGTGATTAATAAAGTTTCTGATTCTGAGTTGATGATTACAACAATTTTCACACTAAATACTTTTTAAAAAGTCAGTGTTTGACGAGGAACTGATGGAGTCCAACACATATTTGTGGACGATAAACTGTAGCACCGTATAGTATCCGTCTTTTAGAAATGCAGAAGGACTTGAAGGACTACAGCCTCCGTACATGGGGTGGCACGACTAACCAGTAGGCTACCAGTGCCCCAGTACAATCATTTCTTCCATTAATTTCCTCTCTCTGCAGTATCTCCTGAGCGACAGAGAAATCCAAATCAAGACGGCGCTCTGGATGGCAGAAAACTCCGACTACCTCAAAGAGCAGAAAGGTACTTTGTCGTCTTTCTCTGTTTTATCAGCCGACCTGAACCCCAATCGCCTTGAGTTGTGCGGTGATGATTCCTCGCTCGTGTCTTGTTGTTATTGTTATCTCAGAGTGTGTGGTTGTGTTCAGACTGTTTCTCGTCTCTCTTCTCCAGAAAAGGAAGCAAAGATAGCGAAGGAGAAGGAGCTCGGGATCTACAAAGAAAAGAAGGTAACAGCAGTCGGTTTTGAGATACTCTAAACATGAAGGTTACCAGAGTGTCAGAGCCGGTACGTACACAGGGAGCTGTCTAAAATATCAGGTAAACAGAGTCAGACAGTAAGACAGATGCAGAGTCAAACA